AATTGCTGTGTCATTTGGTCTCTTCTGGAGGGTTGTCTCATTGGCAATCTTCGTTTTTTTATCAACCCTGCCATATTCTGTGTGTGTCTATCCCAAGTCAGGAGCCTGTAGTTTAGTTGTTGTCGTTGGTTCATGTCTCGACTCATATTTGATATTTTGTAAATTATTTTGTTATGTATAATTAGGCCGTAAGTTTTCTCGTTTGAATTGTTTCGCACACTTTTCACGTCGGGTCTTTTGACAGTATCGGGTTTTGTCATTGTTGAAGGCCTTAATTACGATTGTCTATAATTGCTTACATCCACTTCATATTTGAACTCCGGTGGATAGTTGCCTCATTAGCAATCATACATTTCTTCGTTTTTATTTATTTACCTGACTTTTAAACTCGTGTTTTGAACCGAGTCCTGAACATGCATGACATATTTGTCACTGGGCGTTAAAAATTAGCAACAAACAATCAACCAATTAAACTTGTGTTAAATAAGAAGAAAAACCATTTGATATTCATTCATTTAGTGGGGTGGGCTGGTAATTAAGAGCTGAAAAATATGCATAATAAGCGACAGATTAAAAATGTTAATAATGCCCTCTATAAATTTAAACTGACCACCACGGAATAGCCCAACTTAGTGTTGAAAGTAGCGTTAAACACCAATCAATCAAAATCCCTTCCCTAGAATATCAAATAGTCGTCCCTTAACTTTTATTGTCCGTGTAGTTCTTATATTTATCCAGCTTATCGTCATACAGGGATGTCCTATTAAGACTGTCATACCATAAAAACGTTTATAACACAGCTCACATTCCAATATATCTGCATTCATAAATTTATTAATGTCATTTAGACTAAACGACGCCATGTTTGTTATGTGCCTCTGCCGTCTAAAATACCTATCAAAAACGAAGAGGTGGAAGAGGGCCAGAAGATCTTCCCTATGCAAAAAAACAGAAATGGACCTCTTCTGGCTCACTACCGAAGAACAAAAAAACACGCCCCTGTAGTCAGCTCTTCTGTGTTGACATGACTTATCATTGATATGGTCATAATTATAAAATAACTGTTTCCAAAACTTTGAATTTTTGAAATACTAAGGTTTTTTTACTCCAGGAATAGATTACCTTAGCTGTATTTGGCAAAAAATTTAGGAATTTATGGTCCTCAATGCTCTTCAACTTCGTACTTTATTTTGGCCTTTTTAACTTTGTTTGATTCGAGCTTCACTGATGAGTCTTTTGTAGACGAAACGCGCGTCTGGCGCAAATACAAAATTTCAATCCTGGTATCTATGATGAGTTTAGTTACAAGCACTCGGTCCATGCCACTGCTGGTGGAGTTTTTATTCCCCGAGGGTATCACCAGCCCAGTAGTCAGCACTTCTGTGTTGACATGAGTTATCATTGATATGGTCATAATAATAAATTAACTGTTTACAAAACTTTGAATTTTTGAAATACTAAGACTTTTCTACCTCTGGAATAGATACCTTAGCTGTATTTGGCAAAACTTTTAGGAATTAGAAAGAATAGAAAGGAATGGAAATAAAAAGATGTGGAAATAATGATTTCCCGTACTATATATGTTAAAAAGACGCTGACACATACAGAGAACAAATGGAAAAGTATTTTATAAAGATACTCAGACCAAAATAATCAGAAAAGAGTTTTTTCTTTAAAAAAAAACGGAAACACCCGAACAATAATGTGGATAAAAACAGTGTAACATTACGATGACGTAACGTCATAGAAACACTTAACAATACGATGACGTAAAGTCATAGAAACACTTAACAACGCCTTAACAATGCTGCTGTTCAATGCACATGAAACAAATGCAAATCTCTTCAAAACACAAACCGACAACAGTTCACAAATCAGTTCAGAGATAGAGCACAAAAACAAGGAAATATAGTTAGAGAAATACTCAACAGGATCAAAATGTATTATTTGATTGGAATACATTGAGAAAGACATGCACAACTTTTCAACAACCTTGACATATGTCAAAGTATGATTTGAATTACAAGTTAGGTTCTCTAATTATCTTGTTGGCAATCCAACTAAATTGTAAAAGTTTAAAACTGATTAGAAAACATGTGTTAATAGATAGCATCATGCATTAAAAATATATATTGACAATTCAAAATGTAATATTCTATTCCTTTTAACAGTATTGTGTTTGTTGTTATGCGTTTGGCAGTAGAATCACAAACCCATATTTTGGTTTGCATTCATTTCTTCCATTTCAATTTATGAAATTTTTGCGAAAAGACGCTATTTGATAAGTATATGTCATTGCTAATATTGAAAAGTAATAAATTGCCAATCCTTTACCTTTTCTGTTGATTTGACGGAAATAGCATCGTACGCATTTTTGACAACCGAGCACAACGATAGTACAGGTGATTTGCCCTCGATTAGTATGACTTAGTAGTATGTCATGTGGCTGCATTAAAAAGGAACTGTCATTGTGACTGTCACTCCGCTATAATCCTGAGAGCTCGGGGATTATATTGGTCGAGGGTTCATACGGTGTGTGATATTGGAAAAGCCATATCATATACACTTTATCATGTACACCTAAACTAGATGTTTTGTTGTCGTGACATGACGTAATACAGAGGTGTTTGTTAAGGAGGAGCTAACTCATCGCCACATTCCTTGTTATGTTAAATTTCTCAATTTCAAGCAGTCACCGCTCTTTTGTCTTACGTTCACAGTGACAGTCATTGCATATCAAAGCCAATTCTTATGCAATTTTGTACTGAAAACATCAACATACCTTTATTTCATATAAAAAGTAATGGTTCCCGGAGCTTAAGAAGTACAAAACCCTCCATTTTAAGTTTCATACAATCTTTTTTTTTTCAAATTATAATTTAAAAAGTGTTATAAAGTAATCACCAGTCATTCAGCTTTTATTTGATACTAAAATATTCTTCAGATTTTGAAAGTTACATTCATGTGTAGGATTACTTTTCGGTATGTTCTTTTAGACCGGTCCGAATTAGTGGTGTTTCGCCTTGAAGCCCTGGAAACTGTGACTGATATAGAAAGAATCATGGTTTGATTAAACAGCGATTACTGATGATTGCATTACCAACTATTGCATTAAACATAAAATCTCATTGTATTTACTATCAATTTAATAATAAATGCAATAACTCATCAACGATAACAGGCGTATACTTAAGTAAGTCTAACATTTCATTTATTTTATATTCTTGTATACATATATAATGGATATAAAATTTCGCAATTGTAGATCAATATCTGTACATGCAGGCCTCAGCAAAGCCTTTTTTTATTTGAAGGCGGATAAAAAGGTTATCCAACGCATTGAATACATATTTTCATATGATTAAATATTAACAACATTGTTAAAGTTGCTTTGTTCCCCGATTTTGACAGATTCCTTCTAAATATATATTCTTGCATAACATGGATTATTTATCATAATTCATTTTATTAGCCTGAAATTTACGATTATATTTTCGACGGAATGTTGTATAGTGCACAAATATATAAGTGTTGTATAATTTGAACCTTCTCGTTAATTTCAGCAGAGTCATCTTTACCGATAAATGATACTTGGGACGTCCGACAAATAAACTGACAGTCAGTATACTATTATCAGATGGTACCACCGTATACTTTTCATTATACAGTTTAAATATGGTCTGTGTTGGATGATGCGAGCAAATAGTTTTGTTATACAAACTAGCCTGTGAAATGTAAGCTACTGATTTTTAGTAACGGTTCAATATTTTTAATATAAAAAGGAAATACTGGGACTGCAAATTGATGCGGACAAAATTGTGTAGTCCTTGTGTATTATTATTGCTGTCATTTGTATTATACAATCCATCCTGAGTTTACAAATTTACTGATTTTGAAACGGCTATATAATTTCCAAGATAAAGTTAAAATAAGGTCAGTTTTTGATGACGTGGTCAAATATGTTTGTTATACAAACCATACTGAGATATTAAAACTACTGAATTTTTAACGATTAAGTATTTTGAATAAAAAGAGGACATGCTGGAACTTATAATTGATGCAGAAAAATAAACAGTAGAAATGTGGGCACTTTCGATTAAAACCGACCATAAAATTCAGTAATTGTACACCAATATTTCTTTTTTTCATTTTTCTTGTTTATTTTATACAATCTATGTACCCTGCGTTTTCTACATTGTTAACTGATGCTATTCGATAACCAAGTTGTTAAGCGAACAAATTTACACGGACTGCTAAAAACATTTTATTCAAAATATAAATGACTTGAAGAATTAAATATGTATTATATTATACAATGTACGTTAGCTGTTTTTAACTGAGTAACCAATATCGTTTTCCATTTATTAAAAGGCAGATCACGGAGAAACATGTTATTCCAGACATAAAAAGTTTAACGCGTACTGTATGTACTTATCAATTGGTATTGTTTATATCAAGACAAAAAAACATTTTCGAAAATTGTATCAAGCTATGTAAAGAGGTCTTTGTCACAAGTTAACTTGGTGTTGAGCAGACCAGCCAAACGTTTAGATCAGGTCTGGTTCAATCATTGTATATAAGTTCGAAATTAACTTATTGTAGGACTGGTTTCGAGGTAAACTTCAGCGGACCTGTCTAAAGTTAATTTTTTTTGAAGCAATAAAAATAGTCCTAGGACTAAGTCTGCTTTTCAAGTTAACTTGATTTTGGTCTAATGACAGGTTGGAACGAGTCATATGTTAGCTTTGACCAGTCAAAATGACTGGCTATCAAGTTAACTTGATGTGCAGGTTAGGACTGCATCCATACATGTATGTAGGCGTCATTGCACATGAGTAACTCCAAACTGGATAAATGAACTTCAATATCGTACATGACTCTTTTCAATATTTTTCGCGAGACAAATATATTATATTTTTATTTATTTGTTGTTAACTATCAATTCCTTTTTTAGACTAATATTCTTTTTCTCTAAAAGGAAGATGACTTTTTAACTTAAATGGAATCGGGCCTACACACTGCATCTACCTAATTATGTTTAAGGTATACAAGTTATAAATATATAGGACAAAGCTTCCAGCCAATACAACAGTACAATCATTCCCTTACTTTTTTTTAACATACATTAATGGAAAGAACCACAAACATTACGTATTTTTGATTTAGAAATTTAACTCAACTCCTTGTATAAGTTAAAGCTCTTCAGATTTGGTATTTACCATTGTTTTGTGGTTATGGTATTTATCTTTACAACTACGATATATAGAGAGAGCGAAAATGATCAGCCAAAAGCACAAAGAAAAAAATCTAAGAAAAGGTCAACATGACCAAAATCATCAGTTGATAGGAGTTATGGTCTAACCACAATTCTAAACGATGTTTGTATTTGTATTAGAATTTTGAGAACTACATTAGCGAATAAGAAATTATAAACAACCAAAAAAATCTGCTAGTCAAGATAGAGTAAAGAGTCGACTCCTTATATGAGTTATTTTCTTAAATGATGCTTCCCATCAATTGTATTTTTGTATCCTTAAAACAACAACAGATCGACTGAATTTTTTAACAGCAAAACATATAAGCAAGGCAAGATATTGACATAAACAGTCTCTATTCGACTGAAACTTTTCTTTGCATTGTACCAACTGCATAAACAAAAATACCTAACTCCAAGGAAAATTCAAATAGGAAAGTCCCTTAAGCACGTGATTTTTCCGAAACATCAATTTTTTGCAGTCCAAAAATTGTTAATTCCATTATTTTTATACGCTTTAATACAAAAATGAATAACAAGTTCTTTAATAGAAGTAAAAGTACTAGTCAAAATCAGAGAGAGATTAGTAGTAGAACATTAACTAGAAGCTTAGATGAAACGAAATATGAACAAGCATTTGTGTAGTTAAGAAAGCCAATACATAGTCGAATTTTCAACTTGTCAGAGGAGATCTAAAGCTGAGAGTTGCTAGAGGAAGGAGTATTTACTTTTTGACTGTCTGTGGATTGCATGGCCTTGAATGTAATTGAATGTATAAATTCATTCTTAAGGACTTCCGTGTAGTATTTACTTCATACCACCACAACATTGTGGCTGCGTCGGCCAATACGCAGACAAAACCCTTTGAGAGAAATTGAATTTTGTTTTTAATCCTAAAAATTAGCGTATGACTTACTCTTTAACTATTTCTAAAATATCAAAAATATTCAGACATTTATTTAAATAGGAATCAAGTGACTTTTAATCATATTTCTCACGTTTAATGCATTTTTTTACAATAGTATGAAATTCACTTTTAATCGTTATATTGCATTATTTCATATTAGGAATGCACTTTCTTAAGTCATTGGAATACTTTGTGCAGCCTGCATCAATTAAAATCCAGCAAATTGACACAGTATGCGATAATGCTTACACTCTGATTCCTTCAAGACAATGGGTTGTCAAAATAGATAAAAAACACCTTTCAAAAATATTATAATAATACAATATTAAGGAGCGATAAACTTGTCCACACTTAAATCGTGTTAAATCAAATTTTGACAGATTTTACCAAGATAAAACCATCGATCAGTGCTTCTTAATATCAAACTAATCGGTTGGAAAAACGTTTGAATTGGTATTCTTGGCTGAAAGGATGACTTTGGGGAATACATGATATATAACACTTGTTGATCTGAGTTCATTAGGTTCATATCAATCATCCATTCTACGGCTAATCTATAATCCTGGGCAAACAGCAAAAGATATTTTGGTCTTCCAATGAAAAATCCACCAGCTATGTAAAACCTACTTTCATATACAATTTCAGTTGGAGTGAGCTGATCATTAAAAAATTGAACCTGAGAAAAGGAAACATGATCATCCTTTATACTTCTTGGGATTGCCATTTTTATAAAACCTGGTTTCTTGTTTCTGAAATAGCCTATATCAATCCATGCCAGAAATGCTGTTGTGTGTATATTTTCTGTTATTACCTTTTCCATCAATTCATACTTCGTATTCATAGCACATGAATATGCAGGTATTACTACATTTGGATAGTATCTCTGGTATCCTGTGTGATAATAAATGTCTTCTAATCTATCTTTTAATTTAAAAGACCAGAAATTTGACTGATTCACCAAAAATACTTTTGTCATATATGTGGGGAAGTGTTTACGATTTGATTTAAACTTCATTGCAAATTCATTTATGTCCGTATAAAGGATCACGCTATTGTTTACAGATTCAAATTGTTTCATCCAATTAAAATATGTGCTGGAAGAATAAATTGTATTTCGTTTTTTTTCGAAAGCCCCTATGTTGAAGTAAGCTGTTATTAATGTTACATCTTCTGTCTGACTACGATTTTTGTCATTTGGAAAACCACTCGAAATGCTTAGACTCTTCTGCAAACCTAGAATAAACAAAAAAAATAGCTAATTATTTTCATTTTCTCTCACGTGTCTGATTTGAGGACTAGTAAACCAATATTGATCTGAAACTGTCATTTTGGTCTGAACAACTCTTACAGGACTAGACAATATATTAATGAGTCCATTTCAGTCTTTCAATTAATTGTCAGTCCTATCCACTGTGTTTAATAAGAAGTGTTTAAGCAATTTGCTTGCAGTCAATTAAGATCTGGTCAATCTATTTACAGGCTGCGTAGTTAAGACGAGCGCAGTACTAATCTGTACAAACGTCAACTTTAAGCAAACTGATTGACTGCTCTCAAAGTTAACTTGAGAAATTTAAAACAAATAAGTAGTTAACTGCATCGGTGGCAGACAAGACCTAAGTTTGTTTCTTGAGGACTGCTACAGACCTATTGACCAGTCCGTATCACACAAGACCTGTGGAAATGATTGCTTTGAACAGTCCTGAGGATTGTTATACTCTAGACCAAACCCTTGGACAGGTCTGCTTTTGACAGGTCCTGAGAATAGGCCAACTCCTGACCAGACACAAGAACAGGTCTGCTTTTGGAAGATTGTCGTTTTTAACCAGTTTTCATACCATACCTTTCCTTTGATTATATAAACGATAACCGTATTGTTCTTTTTTCTAGTATTGCAAAATGCAATTCTCTTTAAACTCTGATAACATATACGATACCAATTTTTCTGCAGCAGATGTGCATTTCGACAATCAATGTCTCTTCAGTGATGCTCAAGGCCAAAATATTTGAAAATCCAAAGCTTATAAAAAAGATGACTCTATGTATATGTCCGGGCCATATGAATATTTGGTCCATACGCTTATGATCATTACCACATGCGTATATACCGAAATGGTGCGATCATACGCGTATGGTCCGGGTAATTAACATGATGAACATTGCAATGTTTGACCTTTAATACTGTTTATTTCATAAGGGTTGCCATTGAAATTATCATTAAAAAGAGTTTGTAAAAAAATAAAATTTGAGTTATCTTATCATATGGTAATCAGTGTTTAATTAATAACATAATTAATTTAAAAAAATACCGATGAATAATACCGTGAGTTTTACTTACAAGTTACAAATATATAGTTATACAAGGTCATTATTGATCTGTCCTGAAGAATGACAATTCGTCGACCTACGAAGATAATTTCAAGATATATAACTAAACTTTGAAGCAAGAAGCTTAAGTCGACTGATTTGATAACGGACTAAAAAAAATACAAAAATATAAACGTTCTAATTGACATAAGCGAAGGCAAGAAAATAGGTGCACCAGATTAAAACAAAGCATGAAAGATAAAATCGTCAGTAAATAACTTGTGTTGTTTTGGGTTTGGTAAATGAATAGTGTCTTCAAGCAAATAAGTTATAATTCTTGCACAGTTTATCTTTACTTATCTTTTTAAAGCAATTGCAGTGAAATATTCTTAGACATTATCTGTGTCCAATACGTGTTTGTTTTGTTTTTCTACGTACTATCGTAGCATCTTATATCCTTTTAAGCTATGTTTAATTTCTTGAACATACTTGTTTGGTTTCTTACTTGCTGAACAAAATGCAAAAAAGAAGATGAATTAGCATAGATCATTGGTTAAGGTTTCTCATGCATGTTGGAAAAATGCCTATATGATCCAAATATTCATATGGTCCCGCCCGTTAATAACCAAACTAGTATGTTTCATATGGTCAAATAATACGCGTATGTTAGGACCACGTGAGTACACGCATATGGTCATGACCATACGCGCATGGTCCAAATAATCTTTTCGTCCGGAATATTTACACATTTAAACTTCTTTTTTATAACAAGGAGAAATGTAGGCACTATAAATGAAAGCCGACCATATATTTTAGTAACTATACAATAATATTGTTTTCATTTATCGTGTTTATTTTTGGTATGGATTAGAACTTAAACATTGTATATAAATATAAATGACTTGAAAATTGGTTTTTAACTGGGTTATGATTCGTTGAAAGGCAAACCATGGAGATAAACGTAATTCAATCATGCGTTGTATGAGTACTGCATTCTTTATAAGGAGAAACAGACATTGTAAAATAGTTTATCTATCGATGTAAAGTGGTCATTGTCACAAAGTAGTTTAGTGTTAAAAAGACCAGCCAAAAGGTAAATTTAGAAATCTGGTTCATTCTGAGTTGTCAAGGTCGAAGTTTACTTTTTGCAGGACTGGTTTCGAAGTTAACTCCAGTAGCGGACCTATCTAAAGTTAACATATTCGGCAGTCATAAAACAGAACCAATTTTGCATTTTAAGTTAACTTGATTTTGGACAGATGACCGGTCGGTGCAGTCCTTAAACCTGTCGCAGATTAACTTTGACCCATCTGTAGTTTTTATTTACCTGTGCATACCAACAGCATACTGAATTGTCTATAAAGCTACAGAACAGTACTGAATCGACTGCAAGCAAATACATCTTATCGCTATTCCCGGCTGACCCGAGAATCTGTCCCGCTTGAACTATTGACGTCATACAACAATCACTTTTCCATTGTGGCGTCAGATATTTTGTATTATGACGTCAGAATTTTACGGGAACCTGTGTGATGTCCAGTAATGGCGGACAAATAGCGATAAGGTGTATTGCGAACTGTCTGAAAAGTACTTAGTTTACTAAAGTGGAGAAATCTGAAAATTGACTTAAAAACAGAACATGATTTACTTATATATATTCAGACTTTTCAGACGACGTTAAGTTCAAAATGCTCGTTTTAGACGATAACGCATTTACACAAAATAAGCTTAGAACAACTTGTGCAAACTTTTCTATATCTTATTTTAAAGATGAATCGTTAGTTCTATAGAGTTCTTAGTCGAATTTTCCCTACGGCTATTACAAATGCCAGAAAATTGATATACATTTATTGTTATAAAAGAACAAGGACGTTAAATCTGATTACTCTTTATTAGAGAGTGCCACATTCTCAGTACGCTAAAGAACTCCTGCTGCTACCCTTTGATGGGTGTAGGTGGCGTGTTGCTTGGCTAAACTGTCATTCCTTTCGAAGATACCTGCATTTCCATAAATATTTATAGAAATGAATTCCTGTCATAGAATTAAACCTATTGTCACCTTCCAAGTCAAGAAGTCGTTGTGTAAAGGTGGTTTTGCTTGAAGAGCTGCGTGTTGCACATGCTTGCTGATTTTACGTCTCATGGGGATAATGCATTAACTAAGAAACAAAATATTTTTGCATGTTATTCTGTCATCGTCTTTTTTCTACAGGAAAACAAATAACATCAAAATATTTTTTAAATATTAATACAATATGAATTATGACCCATTGCTTACAAATGATCCCCAGCTATCAGTATTATAAATGTTCGATGGATGTGAAAAGGAGTCACGCGGTAAAGAATACTTTGTTGAAGCATGATAACAAATTTTAGGGTTTCTGGTCTGCAGTTCCTGAGGCAAATGCGCCGAAAACTTCATAGGACTAACGGACGGATAGAGACACGCGGATGGACAGCGTGAAGAGATGTGGCAACCCTCCTTCTGAATGGGGGTATTATTTTTATAACCTAGCCATTGAACAAATGATAAACGGAAACTTTTACTCCAGTTATACATAAATGCCTGACCGACCATGCCTATGAGACAATTTTCATACTGTACACCCGTATGTTTTAGAACAGTACTTTATAGAAAGAACAAATATTGAAATGAAGTAAACATATTTACTCTATCAAACATTAATCATATAAAAAGTGTTTGATAGGAAAGTATAATGATCGTCTTTAACCTTATAAACATTGCCGCATGGTCAATATGGATATAATAATTGAACCCAATCAGAGAAGTTTTGATTGTTAATGGAGTGAACATCATCAATATACCTGAATTTGAAATTAAATGATCTGGCTTCTTTGATTTTCATGTATCTGACAAGTGTCTAAAGGATCTCCGACTCATATGAAAATAAGAAGAGGTCGACAAGGAAAGGTGCACAGTTCGTTCCCATAGGAATGCCGACAATTTGTTGAAAAATTGTACCTCCAATTTCAACAAATATGTTGGCAATAAGAAAATCCAGCATACTGATCACTTGTCTCTCTGTGTAGCATGTTTTACCTTTTTGTTCACTATTAACAAAATATGCCGTATGGTATCCAAAAGTCATAAATTAATAGCGTATGCTACCATTTTTATATTGAAAAGCAATGTAGATTGTTTCTTATAGACAATTTTTCAATTTCACCATGGGGAATGGTGGTATGCAGGGTTGAACAATCAAGGTTTTGATAGAACTTTGCAGAGATAGATCGAGATTTAAAATCATCCAGAAGTTCTTTAGAGATTTTCATAACCCACATATTGTTAATGCCACTACGTGAGTAAACAGTTTTACAGTATTTCTAAATACCCTCTTTCACTGCGAAAAGAATTTTTGTCAAACTAATGGACAATTCCTTTGTAGAACATGAAGATGAGACGGCAATGTACCGTTGCTTGTATGGAATTTTGTAAAGCTTAGGTATCCAATACAAACAAGGTAAGTCCTCATATTTGCTGTTCGATGTAATGTTCATTTAAGCCCTGAAGGACTTATGATTCGCTAAAACCTCATCATTGTCAAATGATATTGTATGTGGAATTACCTGAGTGCTCATTTATTCCTAATTCTTATACAATACACTCGTAGTAGTTCGATTTACATACAAAGACAATAGTATTTGAAGCTTTGTCCGCAAGAACAACAAAATATTTATCGTGAACAGATGATAGACATTTCACAGCTTTTTTGTCTCTGAAAACGGACTTTGGTCGATCATTCACACAGCTTTTCAACTGATGAATTCGACGTTTTATCAGAGACCTGATTGTTTTGACCTTTTCAGACAAAGCGTTCAGTTCAACTTCTTCTCGTTTAGGCCATGCTCTGGCGTAGTCCTCAATGCAATCCATATATGTTTTTGAAGATATGGTTTCAATTGATACG